ATAAAATATTTTATGGCTTACGGCTTGACACCTGGATATCTAGAGGACTACCTGCTCCAACATAACCAACTAGACCAACCTATTATGCCATCTTGAGAAAAAAAAACTACTCCTGGTTCTCGACTTGTAGATAGAAAAGAAACCAGGCGATTGTAGCACCTGGGGTCTCTCTGTAGGGTTCAGGCTAGAAACATCCCTCCTTGTACACAGGAAGAAGCTGAAGATTGAATTGCTCCAGATTTTAAATTCTAACCTGTGTAGTTGAAATATTTCTTTATTTTTCTTCTTTTTTTGTTAGAGTTTATTGTGATATGAAATAAAATAGAAACAAAGATCAGAAAAGAAAGGGGGAAAGTCAAGAAGGGGAGAGAAATATAAGGTTAAAAAAAACCAGTGATTTCTGACTGTTTTCAGTGCAGTAGAATAGTCTATTTTCCTTGAGAGTGTTTTTGTTATTAGGATTAGGAAATTAGCAAACCAACAGCAGATAGATTTGCCCGTTTCTGCCTTTATATAGATGTAATTGTATGAGACAATGACTTTGAAAAACAAGCAAAGAGATGCTGTCTGGGGAACAACAGATAAGAGGAAGTGTAGCCCACAACTGCATAGTGGATGGAGCAAAGGGTTCAGGAGGGACATTCCCTAAAATATCAGGCTGTAAAGGTGATGGTGATTTGCAAGAGTCTGTTAAATATAGCTTCAAAATCAAGTCAAATTATCTTAGAGAGCCATGTGTCTTGTCTGATCTACCTGGTAATAGGCCAATGGAAGAGGGCCAGAAGGTGAGCCTAGAGGTTAGATTGCACATGAGGGTTAGTATTTATAATTTAATTAGGTATAAGGAGACATAATTTCAAGTGAGAGAAAGAGGGAAGGAAATAATAAATCTCCCAACAGGATATAATTTCTTCAGTTATAAGAAAGTCTTATTTGATCCTTCTAGTTCAAAATTAAAAATTGATTTTTTTAACCTCTGTTTCAAAGTTGTCTCCAAAAAGACTCAAGGATTGTTTCAGAGCTATATTTTCTTGGTGATCATTCAGCCAAGCTTGCAAAGAAAAAGGATCCATGACTGTGACATCATTTAGTGGGAAAGGAGTTGCTCTTACAATTTCATCTATAAACAAATAAAAAACAAAGAGAGAAGGAACAAAGATATTGAAAAGACAGTGTTCTATATTGTACTTTTTTATTTTATACATCTTGCCATTTCATTAACCAATCTAGGCAGCATAATCAGTGCTAGACTGATTATAAATAAGCCAGCTCAGAGAGCACAAAGGACCACTCTTTGAAAGCAGTTTGGTAGTATCTAGTATGAGAGGTGGTGGGTTTCCCTTCATTGTATATGTTTACGTATCTGTAACTGTGTGTGTGTGTGTGTGTGTGTGTGTGTATGTATTCAGATGAACATGTATGTATGAATACATACATACATACATACATACATACATACATACATACATA